AGAGTGCAGAAGGGGTTCCAACCTCTGTCAGGTTTTATATAGCTGGCTAAGAAAAGAAAAGAATCCACAAGCAAACCAGAGACCAGACTGTTTAAATGCAAAAAAAAAAAAAAAAAAAAAATGGCTTGAAAGGGTCTTGTAGTGTAATAACTTCACTATACCCAACAAAATGTAGGTACCTCATGCAATACAAAGGGGTACAGCTTCAAAGAAAAAAAATGGATTTGAATGGATTAGACAAAGCCATCCACAACACTGCCCCTAGCTACATCACCAACCTCATCCACAGATACCGCCCAAATCGCCCACTCCGCTCCTCCCATGATATCCTCCTCTCTAGCTCCCTCATCACCTCCTCCCACACTCGCCTCCAGGACTTCTCCAGAGCCTCTCCCATCCTCTGTAACTCCCTACCACAGCATGTCTGGTCAGCCCCTACCCTGTCTACCTTTAGGCGATCTTTGAAAACTCACTTCTTCAGGGAAGCCTACCCCACCTCCACCTAAGAACTATACTTGAATCACCTCCGCCAGATCATCCCCCGCAGTTATCACCTTTTGTACCACCTCCCCCTTGCTTTAGATTGTAAGCTCCATGAGCAGGGCCCTCCTATTCCTTCTGTACTGAAATGTATTGTAATTGTACTGTCTCCCTTATATTGTAAAGCGCTGCGCAAACTGTTGGTGCTATCTAAATCCTGTATAATAATAATAATAATTAGACATTGTAATGCTTTTCAGTAGTTTTAGCAGCCCTATCAGGGCTGTATAATAAGGTGGATGACTAAAGTTCATCGTTCAATGTGTTCTAATGTTTGCAAATGGGTAGGATCTCTTTTTGGTTAGACATCACTTTCTCACTAATGAAGACTTACCAATCCAGAAGATCATTTCTTTCCTCTCTACTCCAGAACCCCTCAATGTTGCATGGGTGAGAACGCCTGAGTGCTAACAATATCTCATGCACACTCCATTAAAAGGGACCACAATCTAAATAGTGGGGAAAGTAAGCCTGAAAGTATACCTCATCTATTTGTATGCAGTTTGCTGACTCAGCTAGGTTGTCCTCAGATGTGGCAATGTACGGCATTGAAGCTAATGCATATGTAAAAAGGTAAGAGATTTAAAAGAAGTTTACTTTTAAAAAGACATGAAGGGTTTTTTTTTTATCATAGGTGTATTTTAAAATGATAGAGACAGAATATCAACTAAAAATCCAGATAAAACACAATACAAATGTTATAAATTGAGCTGCAGTTCAGTGAGTAAAACAAGTATTTGATCCCCAAGCAAAACATGACTTAGTACGTGGTGGAGAAACCCTTGTTTGTAAGCACAGAGGTTTCCTGTAGTTGGTTACCAGGTTTTGCACACATCTCAGGAGGGATTTTGGTTCACTCTTCTTTACAGATCTCTACATCCTTAAGGTTTTTTTGGCTGTCACTTGGCAACTCAGTTTCAGCTCCCTCCATAAATTTTCTATAGGACTAAGGTCTGGAGACTGGCTAGGCCACTCAATAGCCTTAATGTGCTTTTTCTTGAGCCACTCCTTTGTTGCCTTGGGGGTATGTTTTGGAACATTGTCATGCTGGAAGACCTATCCATGACCCATCTTCAGTGTTCTGGCAAGGGAAGAAGGTTCTCATCCAAGATTTTACAATATATGGCCCTGTCCATTGGCCCTTTCAATGCGGCAATGTCGGCCTGTAACTGTAGCACAGAAACTGCCCCAAAGCATGTTTTCACCTCCGTGCTTGACTGTAGGGATGGTGTCCTTGGGGTCATAGTCAGCATTTTTCTTCCTCCAAACATGGCGAGTCAAGTTAATGCCAAACAGCTTAATTTTGGTCTCATCTGACCACAGCACTTTCTCCCAATCCTTCACTGAATCATTTAGATGTTCATTGGCAAACTTCAGACAGGCCTGTACATGTGTCTTATTGAGGAGGGGACCTTGCGAGCGCTGCAGGATTTCAATTCATGGCATTGTATTGTATTACTAATGGTTTATTTGGTGACTGTAGTCCCAACTGTCTTGAGATCATTCACAAGCTCCTCCTGTATAGTTCTGGGCTGATCCCTCACTTTTCTCATGATCATCCTTACCCCATAAGGCGAAATCTTGCATGGAGCTCTAGACTGAGGGCGATTGATGGTTATTTTGTATTCCTTCCATTTGCGAATAAACGCTCCAATAGTTGTCTCCTTCTCACCAAGCTTCTTGCTGATGGTCTTGTAGCCCATTCCAGCGTTGTGCAGATCTACAATCTTGTCCCTGACGTCCATTGACAGCTCTTTGGTCTTGTCTATGGTGCCCAAAAATAGATTCTGTGGCCAGGTGTCTTTTACACATATAAGTTGTTGTTAGCACCTTCTTAAATTGACAGGACTAATCTGTGTACCACATGACCACAAAGCTAGTCTGTGGGAACCAGAATTAATGTTGGTTGGTAGGGCTTCGAATACTTATTTTACTCACTGAACTGCAACTCAATTTATAACATGTGTATCACATGTTTTTTCTGGATTTTTGGTTGATATCCTGTCTTTACCATTTAAAAAAATACACATGATAAAAATAATAAACCCAAGTGCATTTATTAATTTTTTTTTTACCCTGCAGCCTATAAAGCATTGCATCTGCAAATCAGCAGATCATGGGTGCAATGCCAGGATCCTGCAGATACTCAGACAGCTGTCTTCCCGCACCTCTTGAGAGCACTCACCAGCGCCCTTGGCTGCGCGGCGGCTAGCGCTACTTGTAGTTCATTCAATCACAAAAAACTGTGAATGAATGACATGGTTCTGTGGACAGGGCCCCACACAGCTGTGCTGTTTTCAAAAAGCGACAGCGGGCGCAGTGAGCAGATCCCCTGCCCACTGTCACAGAGCAGGGAGTGCCAGCAGTGGGAGGTGGGTGTATAGGAGCAGGTTAAATATGGGTGTAACATGCTTGTAAAAGGTGAACATAGCCTTTAAAGGACAGCTCTACTTTTTGGTGACTCCTTCCCCTCACCCCAAGGTTAAGATGTACTAATTCCTTATAACTGCTTACCAGTTCCAGAACCGCAGCCTGCTTTTTGTTTTTTTAAACATCTTCGGCTGCAATATTTTTTAAAGGTACACCTGTCTTTTAGAGCAGTGACCCTATCAGATGTTTCAGTCAGGCAAGAGAGTCTCAGTAAAGACAGCTTCTACTGAATTGGTTCTTCGGAAAATCCATTGCCCTGGTAATCCATAATTGTGTATTTTTTTTTATAAAGACTGCACCACATATAAGGGTGCATTTGTGAAAAAAAAAAAAAAATTCAAATTAAAATTGAAGAACCTTTTGTCCTACAAAACTGCATGCACATTTGTTCTGTCCAAATGGGGAAAGGAATGTTATAAGGCTATTTTATCTCCATGTTGAATGCTTTCATACATAATAGAGTGAACTGGGAAATACAGCACCACAGCCCCTACAGATAATCATGATTGTCAGTAAAAACATGTGTTTATAATGCAGTATTTTCCTGAATCACTTTATTCAGTAAGAATATTTGACTTGGAGAAAAAAAAAGCCTAATATTTGTTTTTTCCTCCATTTGCACAGAACAAAAATGTACATGCAGTTTTCACAGGACAAACAGCTGTGCGATTTTTTTTCATAAATACAGCCCAGAAAAAAATTGGAATTAAAGTGTGTGTGTGTGTGTGTGTGTGTGTGTGTGTGTGTGTGTGTGTGTGTGTGTGTGTGTGTGTGTGTGTGTGTGTGTGTGTGTGTGTGTGTGTGTGTGTGTGTGTGTGTGTGTGTGTGTCACGCTCCACGGGCCGGATTAAAAGGTCCGCCGGGCTGTGCCCATTGCTGATCTAGTTACTACTCTGAGATGACGATCATTACAATATTGTAGACAAAGGGATTGATTTACTAAAGGCAAATAGACTATGCACTTTGCAAAAGCAGTTGCACTGGTCTTCCCCAGGGCTTAGTGAATGTGGGGAAGCTCTGCCGATTTCCATCATCTAATCACAAGCAAGCAAAAAAATGCTTTTTTTTTTTTAATTTAAATTTCCTTGTACCGAATGGGGTATTCTTTACAAAATGATGCTTTGCCACATTCACCAAGCTCTGGGGAAAATGAAAGCAACTGCACAGTCTACTCGCCTTTGGTAAATCAACCCCAAAAACAGTTGACCACAAGCAAATTATGTGGAACATCACTGGGGGAGAACAGTAGCAACTATAACCTAGATGTGTCAAATACGGAGCAGAGCAGGACAAGAGAGGCACTTTTAAATTCCCCTAATTTGTGCAATAAACTATACAGAAGGTAACTATAAAACTAAATCTAAGACCTTCCCGAAGACTGGACAGTACAAGATGGAGCCTAATGAATTGCTATAGCTAGGGTCACATGGCTCCTTGCTCTGAAGACTAATGCTTAATTTCTATGCAGAACTTAAACAAGAAAGAAAACGAAGGCTTCTGTCACTTTAAAAATTGTAGTCTGAAGAAAGACATTGCAACAAGCTCTGTAAAGTGACAGAGCAGGGGAATGATTGGGGGAGGAGGGGGATATATATTCACACAACTCATTTGGAGAATTAGCTCATGCATGGATGGTCAGCACTCAACAAACTAGTATGCCTTTTCAAATTAGAATGTGTGAAATTAAACAAATTACCTGGAGAAGAGGTGACACTAATTTCCCACTCTTGAATATCATCAAGCAAATAATTTTACGAATCTGTGCAGAATCTTCCTTTTAGTTTACATGATCAGGAACAAACATCAGAGGCATCAGACTTTAATTAATTAGCTTTATATAAAAATAGCGCACATGAAATTCTGGAGGGAAAAAAAAAATTCATAAAAAGGGTCCCGCTAGGCAATAGGTAGGAGGCCCAGATGATGAGTCATACAGCAGGTGTCCAAATCCTATTTACAGACAAATCCCTGAAATTGTGCAATGTTCTGCAGAATATCCACATTCTGGGATAGCACAAAAAGGATTATTTTCACAAGGTCTCCAACAGATCCAGAATTCTCTTTTGTTCGCTTTCCCGAAACTCTGCGCTCTTCCCATCGCCTATGCTCTCTGAATATTCTGCAAGAAATCAGGGTGGATTGTGTTAAATACCATTTATTAATCCATTTATACGATACTTTTGGGCAGACTATCTCTTTTCTAAACAGAACTGCTGGCACTACATGGGGCAGTGTTCGAACATTAGCTGGCGTTTGAAGAAATCAAAAGGATCAAGGTAACCCAACACATAGTTAAAACGGAGGGCATGTCAGGTTGCCTTAATCGGATTAATTGATCTGCAATCACAAATTGGGTAAAATTGCCAGACTATTGCCTGTGTGTATCCAGCTTAATTCCTTGGCAGTGACAGAGTTCCAAATCAGTAGACTCTGCTAGCTAAAGCTCCAAATCAGGAGTGAAGTAGAATCCGCTATGTCCTGTGAGCAGGGCTGTGCAGCATGTTCTTACATTTTGTTAGTGGAAACTAGGAAAACTAAACAGGTTCACCTTTTAAAGGTAGTATTCAAAATACAAAAATAATGCTGTAGAGAGGAGAAGGGCAGAGAAGACTGACGCTCTTCTTGGTTACAGAGATCTATGGATCTTTTAGACAGGCGGACGGGAAAAGAGGGCATAAAGAAAGGTGGCCGAGATGTGGTTTTACAGTCCCCTGGCTGCTCACCCAAATTGTAACAATACAGCCAGACAGGGCTGTACACATTCAGCAGCCACAATACCAAAAAGGTATTCAGGAGGTGGCAGTAGCACCTCCTTAAAGCAAACTAGGCAAAAGCTGACATCTTCAGGTGGTTGGCATCCAGGTCTTGTTTCCTGGCTGCTTTCACCGGCCAGGCGGGGGTGACATCACTCCTGCGCAAGTGTGGAAGATCAGTCAACCTCGGTATTGACAATTTTCTACTGGGAGGTGCGCGTGCACAGCTCACTGTACAGGGCCAGGCAGGCAGGCAAAAAAGTAACTAACGCAGAAGAGACTTACACAAACTTGCCATGCCTCTTACCAACTACCTCAGATGGTTTACTTTCCAAAAAGAGGTCATTTGAAAGTATTTGTACTCTCCAACATTTTGGGGCCTTAAAAAATGAGTTTGGCAATCAGTAAATAAGGACTGATCAATTTTCAGATATATACCATAGTTTGTAGACACTGTAACTTTCACAGAAACCAATATGCACGTATTGGAATTTTTTTTTTATACCAAAAGACATGTAGCAGAACATTTTACCCTACATTTATGAAAAAAAAAAAAAATAGATTTTCTTGGATATTTTTATAAACAGAAAGTAGAAAATATTGTTTTATTGTTCCAAAAATCGTTATCAAATACCACCAGAAGAAATCTGTGTGAAAAATATTATATAAAAATGTCACTTGCGTACAGTGTTGCATGATCACGCAATTGCCAGTTAAAGTGCTGAACAGCAAACAAAAAAAAATGGCCTGGTCTTGAAGGGGGTAAAATCTTCCGGAGGCCAAGTGGTTAAAGCAACAATTTGGCCTCAGTATGTCCTTTTAGAGGAGGGGAAACTAAGACTACATGACACAACTCTGTTAAAACTCACCCTTCAGTACATGTCGCATAATTTTTATAGAGCTTCCCCTCATGGTCAAGATCTGCATCACTCTCTGCCGGACCTGAGCGAAAATCAAACATTAAATCATGTGGTGTGGTGAAAGAGAGAACGAGAGAGCAAGAGAGAGTGTGTGTGAGTGCGTGTGTGTGCGCAAGACTCAACAATTCAGGCAGCACCCACCTTCTTTACTTTCAAAATGGTACCTGCAGATTTGTAGATTATACTCAAACTGCAATAGGTAGAAAATGTCAAGCAGATGATGCTGCAGCACCTTGCCAATATTTTCAGAGTAACAAGAACACGTACTATAGTTCCAAATGTACAAAGTTTCTTATTCAGGTCAAGCAAGCATATGCAATAACAAACGCATGTCTGCCCAACAGTCCAGATGGAACCCCTCAGCTGGAATTAACATTGGCCAGACATTTCAAGCAATGTGGACAGTCTGTGCCCCAGCTTGGATGCTTTGTAATAGATCATATACCACAATCAAGCAGAGGAGGTGACAATGATTTACAATTCAAACACAAGAAAGTGAGATGGATACCAGACCTAGACAAGATTTATTTAAAGGGTTGAAAGGGTCTGAACATTGGTTTCAGTTTACATGTAGATTTGTAATGTTTATGTTGATTTTTCAGGGGTCTTTTACAGCGCTTTTTTTTGTTTAGGTATATTATACTTTGTGAATAGCAATGTATTCAGATAATGCTTACACACACATATATATATATATATATATATATATATATATATATATATTATATACTACACACACACACACACACATTCATTTCAATGTATTACACACACATACACACATATTATTATACACACACATTCACACACACACACACACACATATATATATATACACACACACACACATCAATATATACACACACACACACATTTTATATATACACACACACATACACATATATATACACACACACATACATATATATACACACACATACACATATATATACACACACACACATATATATACACACACATATATATATATATACACACACACACACACACACACACACACACATATATTACATTCACATCAGTCCCTAACCCTCAAGGGGTGTACAATCTGAAGTCCCTAATTCACATTCATACATACACATATTAGGGCCAATTTAGACAGGAGCCAATTAACCTACTAGCATGTCTTTGGAATGTGGGAGGAAACCCACGCAAGCACAAGAACATGCAAACTCCATGCAGGAGGCACCATGGTTGGGAATCGAACCCATGACCCATTTACTGCAAGGCAGATGTGCTAACCACTAAGCCACTGTGCCTCCCGATGGGCTGCCACTTGTGTTAATTACTACAGGTGATACTCCCTTACGATTTCAGAGAGGGGTGATGCGCCTCCTATTGTATATGCATGCTTTACCGGAATGCTTGTGGATTTGAAAATGTTGTATATGTCACTGATGTGTTATGCTGCTGAGTGTTAATAATAACTTGAATTTTCCCTGTTTAAAAAGTCCTGTCAAGCCTTGATTTCTGTACACTGCCCTCCCCAGTCCCTGGTGCTCTGGAATGTATAAATCGGCTCTCCTCCTGTTGCTGTGGTTACCTGTGGCAGGTTGCTGTTGCAGATTTCTGCAATAATGTAGCACAGCAATTGAAGCAGAAACAGACCGGCATCCAGCCTGCGCAGGTAAAACTCATCCTCCAGATCATCATCTAGAATTTCTCCACGACGCACCATGTCCTGGGACAGCAGAAAAGAAATAGTAATAAAAAAAAGGGTTGTGTGTTCTGTCCTACAAGACATAGGCTGCCGAAGTAATAAAGAACAACTCCAACGCAAAAGCTGATCTGAAGCGATTGCTCAATTAGTCTTTTATCGCTATGATTTAACTTTCCCAGCAATGGGAGTGTCTGATAACTCAAAAAAAAGTTTTTGTGCCTGCCCCTTCCACTACACACAAAGGCCTCCAAAACCCCGGAATGCTGCACAAGCTACTTTCTTTATTCCCCCACACAATAAGCAGAATCGAGTACAAATGAAGGGAAGCAGAATTTTGGCCCTCTATTCTTACCTAAATTAGATTTACAACCCCCCTCCCTTCTTTTTCTTTCACAAGTACTTTTACTTTGTTAAAGAAATTGTGTTGTATTGATTTCTATCGGTTCTATTACTCTGCCACTAAAAATTCGCAAACATTTGCTCATGTTATTATCCAAAAACGTCCTGATGACGCAGGCTTGTTTCCTAAAGTGACTCTGTAGCTATTTTAAAGCGGAACTAAAATCTTAACACAAAAGACTGCTAAGAGGGTTTTTTTTGGCAGAAGAGACATACAAAGTCTCTTCTGACAAAAACTTCTTCCTATTTCCCCCATCAAGCTTTTTTTTTTCCTGTACACAATGTGTACAGTCCCTGCTAATTTTCAGCATCCGTCAGATGCCGAGAACAGAGCTGGAAACAATGTAACTCCTGTGCGTGTGTGCAAGTGTAATGCAGGCCATACATGGTTTGAATTCCGAGCGATTTTTCGGCCGAAAATCGAAAGCGTCGTTCGCTCAGTAATCCAATTGTGCCATCAATGATTTCGAAAATCGGCCGACCAAGTCAGAAAGTTCACCCCATATAACAGGCGAAACTTCTGTTCCTTCCAGTTCACGGCTCATGCACATATTCTTTTCAGAAAAACGATCGTACGATTTGACCATCATTGAGTCAAAAATCGTTTTTCACAAATTTTCCAACATGGTCACCGAAAAGAGGAGGAACCACGAAAATCGGTCGGTGCAATAGACCCACTAACAGAGCGAAAATCGGCCAATTATTCTTAGGTCTGATTTTTGGACGAAAAATCATTTGCATTTCAACCCATGTATGGCCGGCCTTATACCATCAGCTGCCACCCAATGGCCATAGTAGAGCTACAGGGGACTGGGAAGGAGAAGACAAAGAAGCAACAAAGCCTGCATTGGTCAGTACTGGAGGTGGGCACTCTCCTACATAGGTGTGCCATAGTACAAACGTAAGCCATGAATACTTGCACATTATGGCAAGAGCCCAACACCACCCTCCCCCACCCAGCAGACTTTAATTTAGTCCTAGAAAGTCCTCTTTGCAAAGAAAAGGTTCAAACCTATCTCGCCTTACACACGTCTGGGTGTGTCAGATACCTGGTCCCCTTCTGTACCCTGTGGATTCATCCACTTAGGAGACAGAGGAAGGAACCACAAAGCACAGAAGGGTACCAGACTTCCAAAACACTCAATTGTGCTGAACACTGAAGATTCTTTAGCAAGATCATATCTTCAAGAAAACAGATTTCAACTGTGTGGGCGATGGGACAGATAAGCTCTACTGGTTTTCATTACAAGCTGAACCTTTAACTCTATAGCGCTTCCTATAGAGGAATTTCAGCATACACAGCTCATTTATGCATTTATGAAAAATATAAACAATTTTATCCCATTTTGCCTAACCTGCAATCACAAGGTTCCTGAAATGTTGCAAGATATAAACAGTTTTCTCTTTCTGTAAAAAGATGTGTATATCTTTGATGTAAGGAAAAAAGTAGTTTTGCTATTCTGTACACCGCTGCAGTAAATAAATCAATAATTTGCCGATTGAACTTAACCCTCTGACCACATTGCCTCTCTTATTAAAAAGGAGGATTTTTACACTCTCCTCCAGGGAATAAGCTAAAACCTGGTGTCATCAGGAAAGCTTATGAAGAGTTTCTTCGCATCGTCTTGGAGATGGGAAAAATTGGAAAATAAAGAACTGATGGGGATTTGTACCAGCAAAATTGTCTGTCTTCTCCGATGAATATCTAGCTGTAAATAATCAGACTTATAAGGCAAGTTCAGCCCAGAACAGAAGAGTTTCCTGTCTCAATGTCAATCCTCTAACAGGTAGGGAATACAGTGTTTGGTCCTTCAATAGATATGAAAGGCAAACTGCAGTACTTAGGATTTGCTTGAAACAAATGAGATACAAAAACTAACATGTTTTTCTCCTTCTATTTTCTTGTCTGCCACCCGCACAGCATCCAGATACTTAAAATACAGCTCCATCAGACGATCAACCTGTAAAAAACAAAAAAAAAAAAAAAAAAAGGGATACACAGAGGTTACCATAAAACCACAGAAAAAGATAAGGAAAGGGACAGTTTGGGATAACTTTTGGGACTGAAGGCTGACACAGGTACAAGGGGACCTGATATACACACTGACCTTCTCACAATCATTCTCTGTAAACTTGCTCAGAAGTCGTGTCCTCTGTTGTCCTCTCAGATTACGAAGCAGGGAGGCCAGAATGGAACAGACATGCTCTGTACAGATAAAAACATTTTTTTTGTTTTGTTTTTTAAGTATACATTTCACAAAGCCATTATACTGATTAGGTGGGATCTTACAGCAAATCCATAATCTCCCCTCCTCAGCAACATTGTTACCTTCCTCGCACCCCATGAGTCCCTTCAGCCACTGGGGTAAAGGAAATGTGCGGTACTTTCAGGTATAAGGGAGTGTTGCCTTTACCGTATGACAGCTTTATTATATGGTGGCAAGGAGCAAGGCTTATAGGCTATGTTCACCTTTACGAGCATGTTACATGTTACACCCATTTTTAGGGTGTAACATGCTCCTATGCACTCATTTCCCGCATCCAGCACTCTTCTCTCTGTGACAGTGGTCGTGAGATCTTCTCCCTGCACCTGCTGTCACAATCTGAAGACAGCGCTGCTGTGCAGGGCTCTGCCCACACGGCCGCATCATTCATTCAGTTGCCTGTGACTGAAAAGACTACAAGTACCGTCAGCCATTGCAGCTGACAGCTTGTAGTTATCAATGAACTAAGAGGGTGCTGGTGAGAGCTCTCGTAGTTTGTGGATTCTTCCTCCATTCAGTAACTGACTGCAGGAGCCTACCATTGCACCTGTGATCTGCTGATGGTGGGTGCAATGCTTTATAGGCAACAATATAAAAAAAATTAAATAAATGCACTTTTTTTTTTAAATTTAAAAAAAAAAAAAAATATGTGCATTTATTAAATTTTTTTTTTTTTTATAAAAAAGATGAACTTAGCCTTTAACCAGTTGCAGACTCTACAGGGTGGCCGCTCTGTGTAGAATCACATATACATACATACACACACACACATAAATACACACACACACATACATGTGATTCTGCTTTTCCGGGTAGGGGGCATGCGGCTGCCTACTCGCTCTGTCATTGGCTTCCTTACATGTCAATCACCAGGTCCTGGCCAGCGATTCATGGCTGGGACCCGACAACTGGCGGAGCAACTGACAAGAGAGAGAGAGCTATGAATGTAAACAACGCAGATCTCTCTCCTGTCAGCAGGGATGTGCCGTTTTTTTAGGGAGATAAAAACCAGCACATCCCCTAGTAAAACAGGGAACACCAATAAAAATTCCATAACACAGAGTTAACCCTTTGATCACCCCAGATGTTCACCTCTTCCTGCCCAGTGTCATTAGTACAGCGACAGTGCTTTTTATTAGCACTGATCATTGTATTGTCACTGGAGATGTCAGTGACAGTTAATCAGTTTCCACCCAACGTCAGTTAGTCTCACAATGCTCATTGTACGATCACAGTCCCGCTATAAGTCACTGATTGCCACCATTCCGAATAGGAGAAAAAAAAATCCAGGATCTATACCATTGTTTGTGGATGCTATCATTTTCACACAAACCAATATACACTTTTCACCAAAGACATGTAGCAGAATACATTTTGGCCTAAATTAATGAAGAAATGTTATTTTTTTTTATTGGATATGTTTTATAGCAAAATATATATTTTTTTTTAATGTTCCGTCTTTTCATTTATAGAGCAGAAAATAAAAAACCCAGTGGTAATCAAATACCACCAAAAGAAAGTTCTATTTGTGTGAAAAAAATTATCAATTTCATTTGTGCACAGTGTTGCATGACTGCGCAATTGTCAGTTAAAGTAACGCAGTGCCATATAGCACAAGATGGCCTGGTCATGATGGGGGATAAATCTTCTGTAGGACATCGTTAAAACTATAAATACATGCTGTATTACGTCTACTCCTAGATTGTAAGCTCCAAGGAGCAGGGCCCTCCTATCCCTCTTGTATTGAACTGCATTGTTGCTGTATTGTCTCCCGTTATATTGTAAAGTGCTGAGCAAACTGTTGGCGCTATACAAATCCTGTATAATAATAATACTACTCGTAGTCACTATGGAGTTTGTTTTCTGTGGAAAAAACCTGGTCGATCTTGCAGTTCTCCATCTCCCCCTTCTGTCCATGTCCTCACTCCAGTTCGGGGTTTTGCAGAGTAGTGTTGGCAGCTATTGCACATACTCAGTTTTCAGTGTATTTCTACCCTGAGCATTTCCTCCCTATCACATCTGAGCAGTCCATGTGACTATAGTGTCACACATGTGGGCATATACCCAGTGGCAAATGACAGCCCACTCCCTCCCTCTTCCTCTATGCCCACTAACCAGCTAAACACGATGGGGCTGAGATGTTACATCTGGATTGATGGAGGCTTCGCCTCCGTTATTCTAAGACACAAGCTGAAGGGGCGTGACACAGCTTGCATCTGGCAGAAATCTGCCCACACCAGATTCTTGCCAAAAATAATAAAGATTTGATTTCAAATAAATATTTGCATGACAATTTTTTTTTAATAAGAAGGACTGTACCAGTTACCCTCACACACTCAACATACATTACACTTGAGTATTTGTACATATGGTGCCAGGAGGCCACCAGTAAAATTAACCTATATTCCAGCTGACTGCCATAAAACATTTTTCTACAAAAGACGAACCAGTGTTTCCCAGGATATGTTGGGTTTTTTTACTGAGAATTGTGTCCAGCATTGAGCATTCTACCAAAAAAAAAAAAAAAAAAAAAAACACCCACAAAAACAAATGCTGTTCGTGAAGCAGATCCAATATGACTGTGCTTTGCCATAAAGGTCAGAGCCCGTAATGACAGCAGCATTTCTACTGGGAGAGGAACGAGTGCACTGAGGGTTTTAGCTTCCCGTCATCAAAAACTGACTAACAGTTTCACCTGGGACTGCTGTCTAAAGCAACATGCGGCGGGTGCTCCTGGGTAATCAGATGGATTAGCCTGCTGTGAAAGCAGCTCCCATAAAAGCCCGCTAGGATTTTCTGGCAGAAGACAATAAACATCCTGCATGGCATTCATGATAAGCTGTTCGCTGCAGTTCAGTGCAGGGCACGTCCTTCTTCTATGATAGTTTGCCATTTTGCTTTTAAAAGTACACTCCAGACAAACAAAAACTTAGCATTTATACTGACCTGATCAACTCGTAGAGTGCTTCTCATGTTTCCCCCTGCCATTCATGCATGCTTTTCCCCAAGCACTCAAGCTGACAATTTCCTCATCTTCTGAATGTGTTTAAAAAAGAGTAAGCCAGGGTGTTCCTTGATTCTAACACTGCCTATTCCCTTAGCTACCCACTGCAGCTTTGATTATCTACTGGTACACAAGACTGCAAAGTACAGAATCATGTAACAAGAGAATACAGTCCTACAGAGAAGCAATGTGATAAACCTGTCACATGTAGGAGGTCAGCATTTATTTAACTATATTTATTTAGAACTCGCTAAAACATTTTGGTTTATATGGTAGACGGTCAGGCTTTTACAGCTATGACCCCCATTAGGGAAAATCACCCTCACAATCTTTCCTTGTAAAAGAACAGGAGCTGAGAGGAAATATCCCAGTGGAACACCAATACTAGTGGAAATGGTTTCTCAGAAGTCTCACTTTCTAGACAGGAAGCAAAGGGAAATATAACCTATAGGAACACAGATAAAGGCTCCAACCCTTTTTGCATACTCAAATCAAGGGATTTACAGGTGCCTCCCCCCACCCCTTCACGCCTAAGTGTAAAACAAATCTGAATGCCTAAGCACAATTTTGCAATGTTGACACGTGTTAGTAAAACCGTACATATCATCACATCACTACTTTGTTCATCCAGGTGAATCATACCTTGTTTTTTTTCCAGGACAAACTGGACTTTCATTTGGTGGTAAATGGTAATATCTCCTGATTTTTTTTATTATCAAAGGAAAGCTGGCCCAAAATAGTAAAAAATAACCAACTTTTTTTTATTTCGCTGTGTGTTTCTTGTTACTACCATAACCTACCACCAAAGAATAACCCAAAATATATTCTCCAGCTCTTGACGATCGCAGCGATACCATATATGTGTATGTTATGTTGTTGTTTGTACCCGTAGAATAGCCCAGAATCAATAGTGCGCATTTTGTTTTTGTCTTTTTTTTTTTTACCTAAAAACACACTGGACACCAAATTTTTTTAAAATCCTGACCTTTGACCCTTACCTTGACCTTTGACCCTGAACTAATCAAACCTTGATCTAGGTATTTTTTAACTCCTTCACGCCAGCTGCACGCAAATGTGCAGCATCCCGGCGTCTGGGCCTAGACGCAGAGTGGCCGCACATTTGCATTCATGTAGCAAAAAACATACACTAAGTGCTGAGAGCGCGCACCCTGCGCGCTCCCAGCACACATGTGCGGTACTCACGGAAAGGTCCCGGTCCACTCTTTCGATCGGGACCTTTCCCGATCATGTGACCGGCCGTGACATCATGGCGGCCACATGACACTAAGCCCCGCCCCGTCCACCTCCTGGCGCAGAAATTCCTCTTCACGCCGGGACGACCCAGCGTGAAGGGCTTAATATTTATCTTTTTTACAAACATTTTTGTTTTCCCCTCTATGCCAGGAGTTAGAGAGATACATTGCATCTCTCTCCTCCATTCATAGAGAGAAAACAAAACAAGGGGCCGGGCTGTACAGTGACTGATCACTGTAATAGCCTCTGATTGGTTATCACAGCGATCATGTGACCCGGATTCGTGAGTCCAGGGTCTCGATCATTAGAACGGGGCCCGGTGCTCTCAGTGACACCGCGGTCTTTGTGCTGGGAATGCGGTGTGCGGCACGCTCCCAGCAGAAAGACAGGTGCGCAAATATGCGGCCCCACGGAAAAAAAAGCCCAGTTCTGTGAGGCCGCATATTTGTGTTACGTCGACGTCAAGGGGTTAAAGGTGCTGAAGAGGTTTTAGGTTTCACTGGAGTACACAGTGCACGCTAAACACGCTACAGGTTACTGAGAAGCTAAGTGATTGTCTTCAAAACTGAACTATTTAATATATTCATTAAAGAATCATTAAATGTATTAAAAACAAAAACCCAGCAAACAACCAGTCAAGCATCTGTCTTGGTGTCGAGTCAATTAGGAGCCCACCAGGCTTATTTGCAAGCAAATGTGCTAGTAAGGAACAAGCTTACAGGAGGAGAGAGCAGAGGGATGAGCGCGCATCAGTCTGCGGTTGCTCCTTCGCTGTCCAATCACAGGTTGGGGATAGGCCAGTGACCTATCTGTACTGCTAAAGTAAAGAAAAATCACGTCAGCAGCCTGGCTGCTATTTTTGCCATGCTATTTCTCAGGAGAGAAAAACAAATCCTTTGGCAGTTAACACACTCCCATATACGTCAAACATGGCGGTAGTTGTGTTTGTGGAGTTCATTTTTAAAGCTAAACTGAAAAGGACTTTAGTACTGCTGTAGTGATTCCCAACTTGGACTAGCAGTTCAGAGATTGATTTTCCTCAATGTCTGAAGCTGCTCTTCAGTGAAGAGAAGGCAGTCACTTTCTTGCTTTCCTATAATCCTGTTTTTTGCAGAAATCTGGCTTTACGCAGTGTGTTGTGTAGTGGGCAGACGTGTAGGAGAGGCATTGCTGGTTCATTATTTTTGTAAGCATCTAACAGAAAGCAGAGTGGCCACTTGTCACAAAGTAAACACTGCCAATATCGGTTTCCTAACCCTCATGCTCCTTTTCAGAGACGCCGGTCTTCTTCATCTTTTTAGGGGATTTCATGAAGAGTGGGAAGATGGTCCTAAGCCCCAGGATGTCCACAAATTTGTGACAGTTGTCGCTGCCCTCAGGGCCAATCATGGCGTGATCCAACACACGAAGTGCACTGCAGCGTGACATTTTCTTCTCTCTGCACAAGAAAAAGATTTAGATTCCCTCAGAGGTTTAGGCATTTCACAGCAATACCATACTGTGCTAATGAAGAGACTATTTTCATGTTTGGTACTTTATGGTTATTAAAAAAAAAAAAGGGGCGGGGGGGGGGGGGGAAGAGACAGTGCAAGTAACGACAGTTTACACGTACACTTGCAAATGGTCGTGACTTTGATCATTGCTCTGCTGAAGATCCTGCTGTGCCCTGTGGTTTCTCTTGTCTGCTGCATCACTACTGTGTCCTTTAGTGATGCTGAGGCTGCTGGATGGAGTCACAGAGTGCAGCAGGGTGGTATAGGTATGTGACAGCTCTTCCAGAGGCTGCAGCTGTGCAGCAAAGTGATGGTTCAATTCAGTGCCCAATGAAGAGGTAAGCATGAACAGTTGTCTTTTGCACTGCCCCCCCCCCCTTTTTTTTTTCTGTTAATAGACTTGGGACAGTGTCACTTTAGGTGCGCTTTGAGTGCTTACTTCTATCTGCATGTCCCTCCAATGCATCAACACTTTCATTACAAACCATACTTGCCTAAAAAGATTGATTTAGTTCCTTTGATGTAATGACTGATAGAGTCGCAGAATAGACCATTTAATGCAATGATTTTGAAGTGACTGTAATAATGAACAATCTTATTAGTTAGTATATGTATAGACATTCTAAAAGATACGTTCACCTTCAAAACATGTTACTTGTTACATGTTCCACCCATTTTTAAAAAGGTGGAATATGTACCACAATCCAGCTCCTGCAGCCTCTCCCTGCTCACCCCTCCTCGCTGTGACAGCACCAGGAGATCTTCTCCCCCCGAGCCCGCTGTCACAATTTAAAAATAACGCAGCCATGCGGGGTCTAACCACATGGCCATGTCATTCATTCAGTTACCCGTGAATGAATGTCTACAAGTACCGTCAGCAGTTGCTGCTGACGGCATGTAATTCTCAGTGTACTAAGAGGGTGCTGGTGAGTTCATTGATTTTTTTTTCTGCTCTCCTCAGGCAACTGCCTTCCCGCACAAGGTACCGACAGACAACTATGCTGAGAGACTCTACAGGAGCCTGACATTGCACCCACATCAACTGATGTTCTGCAGGCTTCTCACCAAAAAAAAATAAATGCACATTTTTTACCTGCATTTTCTTAAATAGGTGAACTTATCGTTTAATATCACCTCGTTTCTCACTCTTATGTCTATTTAGGGACAAAGTGCATCAAAATTTGAGGCAAAATGCGGCTGTCAATCTACTTTCATCAAACAAAAGTGCTGAGCATGGGTCTCTTTGCTTCAGTAAGGTCCATCTGGTAAGCTCATCGTTCACCAGTCTTTGTGGGCAACACTTTTATTTTTGCATTTGTAGGCTAATGTACTTTACTAAGCAAGTTTCATTACTTCATGTACCTTAGCATTAGATTCATAAGCTGCAACCCTTCTCCCTTCAGGAACCTCTCCCTGTTACTGCTGAGCATTAGGCAGGAGCAAAGACCATCAAACAGATTCTCCATCATCTCCTGTTCCTCTGCTGTGCTAGGATCGTGCCGCTTGAACACCTGAAACCAAAATGTTTAAAAGAAGCCCATATTTTAAGTTATTAATACATTGTTTGCCTTAAAGTAACCTTTCATATTTCCACATGCTTAATGCTGGAGAGATCTGTAGATTGGCCGCTAAAGAAGATTAAAAGCTGAACTCCAGGCAAACCGCTAAACATACATACAGTCAGGTCCATAAATATTGGGACATTGACACAATTCTAACATTTTTGGCTCTATACACCACCACAATGGATTTGAAATGAAACGAACAAGATGTGCTTTAACTGCAGACTGTCAGCTTTAATTTGAGGGTATTTACATCCAAAGCAGGTGAACGGTTTAGGAATTACAACAGTTTGCATATGTGCCTCCCACTTGTTAAGGGTCCAAAAGTAATGGGACAGAATAATATTCATAAATCAAACTTTCACTTTTTAATACTTGGTTGCAAATCCTTTGCAGTCAATTACAGCCTGAAGTCTGGAACGCATAGACATCACCAGACGCTGGGTTTCATCCCTGGTGATGCTCTGCCAGGCCTCTACTGCAACTGTCTTCAGTTCCTGCTTGTTCTTGGGGCATTTTCCCTTCAGTTTTGTCTTCAGCAAGTGAAATGCATGCTCAATTGGATTCAGGTCAGGTGATTGACTTGGCCATTGCATAACATTCCACTTCTTTCCCTTAAAAAACTCTTTGGTTGCTTTTGCAGTATGCTTTGGGTCATTGTCCATCTGCACTGTGAAGCGGCGTCCAATGAGTTCTGAAGCATTTGGCTGAATATGAGCAGATAATATTGCTCGAAACACTTCAGAATTCATCCTGCTGCTTTTGTCAGCAGTCACATCATCAATAAATACAAGAGAAGCAGTTCCATTGGCAGCCATACATGCCCACACCATGACACTACCACCACCATGCTTCACTGATGAGGTGGTATGCTTAGGATCATGAGCAGTTCCTTTCCTTCTCCATACTCTTCTCTTCCCATCACTCTGGTACAAGTTGATCTCGGTCTCATCTGTCCATAGGATGTTGTTCCAGAACTGTGAAGGCTTTTTTAGATGTCGTTTGGCAAACTCTAATCTGGCCTTCCTGTTTTTGAGGCTCACCAATGGTTTACATCTTGTGGTGAACCCTCTGTATTCACTCTGGTGAAGTCTTCTCTTGATTGTTGACTTTGACACACATACACCTACCTCCTGGAGAGTGTTCTTGATCTGGCCAACTGTTGTGAAGGGTGTTTTCTTCACCAGGGAAAGAATTCTTCGGTCATCCACCACAGTTGTTTTCTGTGGTCTTCCGGGTCTTTTGGTGTTGCTGAGCTCTCTGGTGCGTTCCTTCTTTTTAAGAATGTTCCAAACAGTTGTTTTGGCTACGCCTAATGTTTTTGCTATCTCTCTGATGGGTTTGTTTTGTTTTTTCAGCCTAATGATGGCTTGCTTCACTGATAGTGGCAGCTCTTTGGATCTCATCTTGAGAGTTGACCGCAACAGATTCCAAATGCAAATAGCACACTTGAAATGAATTCTGGACCTTTTATCTGCTCATTGTAATTGGGATAATGAGGGAATAACACACACCTGGCCATAGAACAGCTGACAAGCCAATTGCCCCATTACTTTTGGTCCCTTAACAAGTGGGAGGCACATATGCAAACTGTTGTAATTCCTAAACTGTTCACCTGATTTGGATGTAAATACCCTCAAATTAAAGCTGACAGTCTGCAATTAAAGCACATCTTGTTCGTTTCATTTCAAATCCATTGTGGTGGTGTATAGAGCCAAAAATGTTAGAATTGTGTCAATGTCCCAATATTTATGGACCTGACTGTATATGACAGTTGCTTACCTGCCAAGATATTTGTATTTCTGTCTACCTACGTCTGAAATCTACAGAGCTCTTCCACATAGCACAGTCTTGTCTGGCAGGGCAGGAGAACCGATTCTTCTGTGCAGTTATAAAATACTTGCAGGTTTTGTCCTTCCAGCCAGTGACTGTAGAGTGAAAGGAGAAGCAGCAGACTAATACACTTGTGTCTGGCACTCTGCTCTCTCCTCCTGTCAAAATGCCCTTATAAGCACATGAACACTGCAGCACAACCAGTACATTTAAAGATGAAGTTTAGCCAATTTTCTTTTCCTGTACAGCTTCAGTTACATTACTTACCAGAAATGAAATATGTCCCATGTTTCACAGGCAGCTGGATCCTAGAGAATCTTAACTACGAGGATGCCTGTCCTCTTCCTGTCTCTGAACTTCTGGCAGGGTTAATAGCTTCGGGCTGAGCTGTGCAAGTTGTTCCAGGGACCCCCCCCCCCTTTCTCCATTGAGAAACGTTATTTCATCGCTTTCACTGCCTCATTCACAGATAGCATTTGAGACAGTGATAGCAATCAAAGAATTTTTCTCAATGGAAGAAGAGTGAGGAGGGGGTGGAACTTCAGTGCAACTTTTTTACAGCAGCTCAGCCTGACGCTTTTAACAATTGCAGTACTGGACGATCAGAGAGAGGAAAAGGGTGGTGCATCCCTGTAAAGATTTCTGCAGGATCCAAATCACTGCATGTCATAGGACATAATTCATAAGTAATGTGACAAAAGCGGTCACGAATTAAAACTTGCCCTGCAGGACACCCGACTGACATCTTGTGATGCTTCTACCTCTATTAGCGCTGCTGTAAAGAACGTATGAAGATAATCAGTGGCTAAATCAATACAGCACTACATTTGTGTCTTTTAGATCTGTTTGAGTTCAACTTAAAACAATTGAATAGAACAGAGAAAATTTTAGATATTTTTTTTTTTTTTTTTTAGAGCCATGAAAAACTACGGGAGTATCTTTTGTAAAGGAAAAAGAATGACAGAAAGGTTCTAAAAAGGTAAAAACAGCTTCCATATGCAGAAACTAGTATAAAAAGTATTATGAAGAAAACAAAAATTGTTGTGCAGGAAGGTATCTAGTTATTGAAGCATAGTGGGTGGCACAGGTTTGGCTCCAGCGGACAATGACATGGGCAGACATGCATTGACATTCTCTTGTAAAAGCTGAGGCAGCAGTCTACCACCATACACTCGGAGAGATGCCAAGGTGTAAACGGGTAGGAAGTGGGAGGCCCTCACCGATAACTGCTGAAGCAGCACGTCTATTCCATCCAGCTCCCCCAGGAGTTCCCGAGTGTCTGTGAGAGGGGAAGATAATGTCAGCACACAAGAATAAATCCATCAGCACAGAGGATCAATACACTGTGACAGGGGGCAAGACGGTACACGATGCTGAGCAGGGAGAGATAGACGAGGGAGTGAAACTGAGAATGAAGAGCAGGCACCTGTATAGAAGAGAACTACATCATAGACACATTGAAAGATGAAAATTACAGTTAGCGACTGAATTCAGAGGCAATATTAGAGAGAGCCATAATAGCGCAAGGGATGAAGATTGCTGAATGGGAGGAGGCAATTAAACTGAAGAAAAGGACAAATTCTAAACTCTAAGAAAATAAGCAGAAAAATGACAGTGAAATCATAATCCTCTTACCATCATTGTTCTGTAGAAGAATGGCCAGGATTTCACTGCAGTAGAGCTTGTTGGCATCAAATGGCATCTTGGCCTGTGCGGCACAGAAAATAAGGGCATTCAAGCAGCGGGAAACATTACGAGCAATATGGGAAGCATAGAGAGTAGGAGGCAGTCTTGAAGATGGATAAATGTGTTGCAAACTGGCATTTGGGGAGGAAGGAATAATGAGCATAATGACAAAAAAAACAGCAGTCTGCAAGAGGCATAAACTACTGAATGCAACATCTCAAATATGGCATCATATGTTAGAACATGGAAAAGTCTGAGATTATTTAGACATTCTACAAACATAACCGGAACATCTATCATTGTGATATAGAAACTGTCCGCAGGTGACACTTTCACCATTGCAAAATAATAATAAAGAGTACTGTTCAGTCATGTACATGTTTGCACTGGACCAGGGGCAGATTGACAACTCATGGGGCCTCCGGGCAATAGGGGATCATGGGGCCCCTGTGTCCTCGCCCACACCCAAAATAGCCTATGAAACCGCCAATGAAAGGTACAGGGGCATCTCATGGGGCCCCCTACTGACCCCGGGCCCTCAGGCAGTGCCCGAGTGCTCAGATGGTCAGTCCACCCCTGCACTGGACAGAGGTATCAGACATCCACTTCAACCACTTCGTCTGGACACTTTCACCCCCTTCCTGCCAGGCCAAATTTTCAGCTTTCAGTGCAATCACACTTTGAATGACAATTGCGCGGTATATGCAACACTGTACCCATATTAATTTTTTAGCATATTTTTGAGACCGATAAAACTTTATTTTGGTGGTATTTATTCACCACTGGGATTTTTATTTTTTTACTATATAAATGAAGAAGTCCAAACATTTAGAAAAAAAAAAAAAAAAAAAAAAAAAAAAAAAAAAAAGGGTTTTTCTTATAAAATTCTGCAAATGATCTTTCTTCATAAATCTTGCCCAAAATGTATTCAGCTATCTTTTTAGTAAAAAAAAAAAAAAATAACCCCCCAAATTAGTTTATAGCCAAAAATTATAATTTTTCCAAATTCTTTTTAAATTTAATTAATTTATTTTTTTAACATACTGTCACCCTAGCAGTAGAGCGTCAACATAGTGACCTTGTACTACTCGTGAGGGGGGATGAAGATTTTTTTTCTTCTTTACACTGATTGCTTTTACACCCATAACGGCTGTAAAAGCAATCATTTCTCCTCCTCTCTGGCTGCATTCTTGCAGCCATTGAGAAATACTTTGAGAGCTGTGATTGGTCACATGGTACAAGGCTGTTGTGAATAGCCTTGTGCCATGTGACCTCCGTGATCATTCACAGATTTCACTAGTAGTAAGCAATGATGTCAGCAAGTGACATCTTGCTTACTACTATTCATGTGATCACTGACTGACCAATCAGTGATCACATGATCAGGACCTCTCACAGAAGTCCCTTACAGCGATCGGCAGGATGGCAGGCGGGAGTGTGGTTTTCCGGAGGACACAGCGGGCACCGGATCACGGTGCCGCGCGCTCCCAGGGAGCATGCACAGGCAGGGAATGCGGGACAAAATTTATAAATGACCACCCGCTCCTGCACTGCTCCCGTCCGGCCATTTAGGTACATGGGCCAGATGGGAAGTGGTTAAGCTCAGTTCACTACACCATGTACAAAACTCAGTCAAAGCTTACATTCTAGCTAAGAGACTGTATGAACGTCCATTTCTCTCAAAGTTTGCCATGTTTTATAATCTATTCAGAGATCTACAGTTCAAACAGAATTAAAGAAAACATGCATTGATGGATAATAAAGTGCCATTGCTGACCATTTCTCAAAACAATGCCTGGCTGTTATGCTGCTTCATTGGCTTCAATGCTTTGTAAGACTCTGACTGGGAACCAGACTACTGATAGTGTAGTCTGTCTTCACTATTATTAGACAGAAAAAAAAAATGAAATTAAAACCTGTAAAAGGGAAATACTACTGACAGTCTGACAGGCAGCAACTCAACTCTCCACTCTCTGGCAGACCCACAGCCACTGCTGGTATATGACACTTCCTAGGGGGTCACATGCCATGTCTCCCGCCGAGTGATGTAGTTTCTCCTGCCAGTTGCTACGTACCTACTGTGTCCAGATACCAGCGGGGGTTGAAGCTCTGCAAAAGAGCCAAGACTGAAGTTGCTACCCAGCAGATTGGTACCTATTAAGCAGCTCATACATTAATCTTTTTTCTTTTTGTTCAACCAGCGGGTTGAAAATAAGGGGAAAACCCATTTTCTTTAGAAGTGTTCTATTAGTTAGATCGTGTTTCCGATAAGCTTGATGTAGTAAAAAATGACAAAAAAAAAAAAAAAAAAAAAAAAAGCACAGGTTGAATGAAAAAGGCACCATGCTGGAAATGTCAAGGAGGAAGGTGGGGAAAGAGAAATCAATTTACCCACCTTTAAGCGTTTTAGCAGCCATTGGAGCAGGCCTTGCTGTGCTGCCTCAGTGCAGATCTCAGGGCGGAATTCAGTCATGTTCTCAATGATTGCTGAAAGAAGAAAAGGTTATCACTGAACACGTGCAGCTACAGATCAATACTGTTCCCAATGTCCTGTCTATATAATTGCAACACAACTGGCATACAACACCTCACATAAAGACCCATAAGGTCTTGAGAATTTATTACACTTTCATTGTTTTTCTATGCAGGTATAAAAAATATCTATACATTACACGCCAAAATATAGCACATGAATTGTATTGAAATTAACTGTACAATTTTGATTCAATAATGTTTTGTTTAAATATGCAATAATGCATATATTTCAATGTTTATCAGTAGGTGGAGCTCTGTGCGGTTTGGAAGGCTCTGATACTGCGCATTAAATGATTAATGACTCAAGGACACACCTCCCTCACTCTCTTCTAAAAGACAGAACATCTTAATTAGGTGGTCTGCAGCGACTACCAGCAACCAGAAAGAGTTTTTACAGAGTTACATTAAGTTAGTGTATAAGCTTGTTAACTTAACCACTTCCCGACAGGCCGTTGCATATAAACGGCTGGACGGTGGCAGTGCAGGGTCGGGTGGCTGTCTATAAACGGCCTCCCCGCACCCTGCTTGTGCGCGCTCCCTGGGAGCGCACACCACCGCGATCCGGTGCCCGCTGTGTCCTCCGGACACAGTGAAACACTGATCGTCGGCCGGGACCTCTGTACGAGGTCCCGATCATGTGATCACTGATTGGCCAATCAGTGATCACATGCAAAGTAGTAAGCAAGATGTCACTTGTGACATCATTGCTTACTACGTGTGAAATCTGTGAATGATCACAGAGGTCACATGGTACAAGGCTATTCACAACAGCCTTGTACCATGTGACAAGCTGTGACCAATCACAGCTCACTCAGTACTTCTCAATGAATGCACACAGAGAGAAAGAGAAATGATTGCTTTTACATCCAATATGGGTGTAAAAGCAATCAGTGTAAAAAAAAAAAAAAAAAAAAAAAAAAAACAAATCATCACCCCCTACAAGTAGTACAGTGTCACAGTATGTATGTAAAAAAAAATAAAGAATATAAAAAAATAAAATAAAAATGTAAAAAAAAAAAATGTTTAAAAATTATAATTTTTGGTTATAAACTAATTTTGATTTTTTTTTTTTTTTTACTAAAAAGATAACGGAATACATTTTGGCAAAGATTTATGATGAAATATTTATTTGCAAAATTTAAAAAAACAAACTTTTTTTTCAAAATTTTTGGACTTTTTCTTTTACATAGCAAAAAAAATTAAAATCCCAGCAGTGAATAAATACCACCAAAATAAAGCTTTATCTGTGTCAAAAAGATGGTAAAAATTCATTTGGGTACAGTGTTGCATGACCGCGCAATTGTCATTCAAAGTGTGATAGCGCTGAAAGCTGAAAATTGCCCTGGTCAGGAAGGGGGTAAAAGTGTCCGGTCTGGAAGTGGTTAATGAAGAACTCAGAGCAAAACTCCCATGCTGTGGGGCTGTGCCCGTACTCCATGGGTTAGTGGCTTGTTGTTGTCTAGGGGACTGCAGAGCAGAGATATACTTTCCTAATTCACCGATCCTCTGATCACAAGACCAGTCCCTGCCACTCCTGCCCCACAGCACGCTAGGGGTCCTGTGAATGGACTGTTCCTGACATCATCACGCCCACAGACTGGCTCCAGACGTGGGGATGGCAGGCAGGAGTGTGGTTTTCCGAAGGATCGCCTTTCGGTGCGCCCCTAGACAAAAGGAGCAGTTAACCCGTGCAGTTCAATTTTCATGGAGTTCTTCTTTAAAAACCAAATTGAAAATAAATAAAAATGGACCAAACAGAATTTGTGCTTTACCACGCAGAGCAAAATAGGATTTTTGTATACCACATAAAATCCTTTTCTTGAAGTCCATTGAGGGACAAGTCATAAACCTTCGCAAAAGCATTCCAACTGAGGGGTGGGCAACACAGTAAACAGCTACCAACACGCACAACTAGAAACAACAGAACTGGGGTCTGCCTGCAGCTCAAAATACTTCATGAGGAATCTGGTCCATCTGGTAGATCTCAGAACTTATGAACAGAAAAACAGATGGCAGCCTTTAAAATCTGAGAAACAAGAGGCTTGATGACAAAAAAAAAGCTGAAGAGGTGCTCACTGCCTTGGTGGACTGGGCCTTAATTTGGAAAGGGGGCACCCAATCTTTGAGAACATAAGACTGAACAATGGTCTGTCTAAGCCACCTAGAAATAGAACAAGGAGCCAGGACATCCTCTCTGGGCCCACCCTGGATTAAAAAACAAAAAACAAGAACTTATACAGCCTGAACCACATTTAGACAATGACAGATTTTTCCCACAATGACTGAATGTTGTGTTGTTGCAGTTGTCTGGAATGAAAATGGGCAAAGGTAACTGCCATAAAGGAAGGTACCGTCAACTCCAAGACTCATGTAGAAGAGGACAGCTTCTGGATTGAGGAACATGAATTGGAGTCTGAGGTTTCTCCAGAGGAAGGAACAGTCTTGGAACAGGAATATGCCCGGGTCCAGCCAAAGACACTCAAAGCAACGAGTCACATTCTGCAACAGTATTTAAGAGTTCTGAATCTACCTGAACCTCTGCAACATCTGGACAGAGAAACATTGTCCAGCCCTCACTGATGGTTCCCTCAACAGATGGTTGACCAAGTAATCCATGATGGGGATACCCAAAAAGCACAATAAAGTCAGCCTCTTGTTGAACATACAAGGCGCAGATGACCAGTTGAATGGAAGAACAACGAACTGGTAGTGCAGAAGTGGACTTCAAAGTGAAAGTTGAGGGCATGCTAAAGAGAAAGGGGTGTTTCTTGAGAGGGATGGATGGAAATGACTTACCAGTCTATTCCTTAGGCTTCTGAGGAACGCAAGTGCTTTTGCCCCCCCCCCCCCAGCAGCATCCGTGATGATAGTATCCAGAGATGGATCAAAGCAGCAACATCGCTTCTTGGAAGTAAGCCAAGCACTTAAACCAAAGGGCCCTGCACATAGGTATTGACAAAAGGCCATTGTGAGGCAGAAGAGAATAGAAGACTTCTAAGAGGCTGTCAAAGCTAATGTTCAGCTGTTGCACGTGATCCATGATCCAAGGTTCAATGGCAGCAGTGGCCAGCTAGACTTTGACAAAAACAGACATGGTTTGAAAGAGAATTACAGCCAAAACCAGATGTAAAACTTAAGTGTTAATAAACCCAGGACCCTGCATTCACTATATCTGGTCTCCCACAGTACACAGAACATGGAAATGCAATTATTTTAGTAAATATAAACTGTTAAATATCCTCTCTCATCAGCAGTTAGAGCAGTCTTGTGGCTTCTAGCAGTGACCAGCAGGGCACTGGATAAAGCTTGTGGGAGGAGTTTTCTTTCTGCTCTAGGAGGATGCAAAACCCCTGACCCTCTGTCTGGACAGGCTTATTGGCCTGGTGCTGATCACATGCACTCTTCCAAAAAAAAAAAAAAAAAACCTCTCTAGCAATACACAGCAAACTGAGCATGTGCATGTGGCTAGAGGTTCAGTCTGTCTTATCAGGTGGACATTTGAACATGAGGAGGGGCAGAGAAGAAAGGATCAAAACAGTCTTTTTACACAATACAGAGGATTAACCCCTTAGGTTCCACAGCGAGTATAACAAGAATGCTTTACTGCATATACAGACTGATTTTACCATTGTGGGTGAAGTGACACTTTAAGCTGCTAAAGAGAACATGGTTCTGTAAAAGGCGCCAAGCCATTTATAAGTTGGATCCCTGAATGCAGCAGTATCCACCACAAGTATGGTAGTCACTTTGGTAAAGCGAGAACTGGCCAGATTGACTGTGGGAACAGACAACCTTTGAATAAAGACATCACTAAGCAGGTACAAAGACTAAAGCACTAGGAGGAAAAAAGCCAGAGTTTCTCCAATCAGAATATAGAAGTAACTGAAAAAGCAAATGCAAAGGAAAAGTATTCACGGCTTTAGGTGTTCTGACTGAAGGCCAGAAATGACTGGTGGAGGCAACAGGCTGATCATATGTACCTCATCATTAAGGGGCAAAAAAGGTTCCCTTTAATCTGGGAGCAATAGCAGTGGATTGTGACTTCTTTAGGGTAAAGCTCCTCACTTATGGGACAAGAGCAACTCTGCAGCCCAAAGCAAAGAAGCCATTAAAGCCAAGGTAAATCAGATACTGAAACTGCTGAAAAATGTGCAGTAGCATGCTTGCAGCCTCTGCAATCAGAGTCAGAAGGTACTTTGGACAAAGTTCTGCATGATCATAGTAGAAAGAAACCTCGGCAGAGACTGCAAAGAACCCAGCCACATCTGACGGAGGAATAAAGTCTAATAGCAGAATGCCACATGATTCCAGGGTACAGACATCATCACGCTGCAGGCAGTCCTTGACCAGTTACTAGATAAACGTTCTGGGGGTACCAGGCATGGCAGGACAGCCCCTTGTCTAGAATCCCATCCCAACCCCCAGAATCAGACATGTTGCATGTAGAGAATTTCACAACCAGAGTATCAGGTGACCAGAGGTGAATCATAAGTAGGCAGACCATAGAGATTGAGTTCCTCACGGCTCTTTGCAGCAGCAAGGAGATGCTTCCTCAATGATGTCCACCCTTTCCAATGAAACGCTGGCAGGGAATGGGGAAAAATTATGCCCAGAGACTAGTGATGCACCGAAATGAAAATTCTGGTACCGAAACCGAAAATTCAAAATGCAATTGAAAACCGAAATGCGCAGTTTTTAAAAATGAATATATATTTTTTGGGAAAAAAAATACACTGAACAAAAAAACAAAAAAAAAAAAAATATATACCCCAATTTGTTTTGTAAAATATGAAAGAGGATGTTACGGCGAGTAAATAGACACCCAACATATCACGCTTTAAAATTGCGCACGCTTGTGGAATGGTGTGAAACTGCGGTACCTAATCTCCATGGGTGATGCTTTAAAAATTTCTACAGGTTAGCAGTATAAAGTTAGAGAGGAGGTCTAGTGC